ACGGAGCAGTACAACGTGGCCTGTCCATGCTGCGCACGGCTGCTCAGCCTTGAGAAGGGAGGAAGGGCTGACGTGTGCTGGAACACGCGTGCTGCAACACGCGGACCCTGCAATGTGAGGCCAGTCATGAAAGGCGACCTGGGGTACGGTTTCGTGCATGTGACATGTCCACAGTAGATAAATACACAGACACAGAGTGCGCGCACAGTCATGGTCGCTGTGGCAGGGGATGCATAGAGCACCAGATGCTGTGGCCGTGTCCACTCACAGGTGGCCAACTGTGTCATGTGGACGTGGCCTCAAGGTTCTGACATGTGTTCAGGTGAGTCTAAGCTTGCTTTGTGAACAGAGGGGCCAGAGTGGATGCATATGTGAAGGCGCACTAGGCTGGCGCCGCAGCTCACTAGGCTAATCCTCCACCTTGCGGCGCCGGCACACCAGGTTCTAGTCCTGGTCGGGGCGCCGGATTCTGTCCCGGTTGCCCCTCTTCCAGGCCAGCTCTCTGCTGTGGCCAGGAAGGCAGTGGAGGATGGCCCAAGTGCTTGGGCCCTGCACCCCATGGGAGACCAGGAGAAGCACCTGGCTCCTGCCATTGGATCAGCGTGGTGCGCTGGCCGCAGCGTGCCAGCCACGGTGGCCATTGGAGGGTGAACCAACGGCAAAGGAAGACCTTTCTCTCTGTCTCTCTCTCTCACTGTCCACTCTGCCTGTCAAAAAAATAATAATACAAAAAAAAAAAAAAAAGAGAAGGCACGAGGTAGCCGAGAGCTTTCTGTGCCTCTTTCGGCGCAGGAGACCCCCTGGTAGTAGTAGGATCTTTGCCTCCACCCCTTGGGAGCGATGGCCTCCGACCCCTGCAGCAGGGGCAGAAGTGCCTTCTCACCTGGGCACCGGAGCAGGAGAGGGCGCTGCCCTCTGTCACTGGGGAGGAGTCAGGGTGGATTGGGTGGGCTGGTGCTCTCCCCAGGAGCTGCGGTCGCCTGTTGGCAGGCATCACCAGCTGCTTGTGGGTGGCTGAGGCGTCTGCTTGCTCTCCCAGCCTGTCTGTCTGAAGTTAAATTGATGCCTTTGTCATATGCTTATTTTGGTCTGTTGATAGATTCTTCTGTTCTAGTATAGTGATTTGTCTGCTTTCACAGTGCCACTCATTTTTAATTACTGTGGCTTTTTAATATATTTTAAACTACATGATAATTTTCCTTTTGCTACTCATGTTTTAAAAATTTGTTTACTTGTGTATTTTATTTGAGATGCAGAGTGAAAGAGAGATATTGAGATCTTCCAGTTGCTGGATTATTCCCAGGAGGGGCTGGGCCATGCTAGTGCCAGGAGCCTGGGATGCAGTCTGGGTGATGGGGATCCAAATACTTGAATCACCACCTGCTGCCTCCCGGGGTGCAGGTCAGCAGGAAGCTGGACTTGGGAGTGGCGCTGGGACCGTGTGACCCAGACAATCTGCTAGGGATGTGGGTGTCCCCAGCTGCAGTTACACTGCTAGGCTAAATGCTGCCCCTCATTGCTTAGCATTAGCGAAAGAAAGATCTGGTGTATTCTTGGATTTTTTTTCCTGCTAGGTGATCATCAGGATAGTATTTCCAGTTCTGTAGCAGATGCCTTTGGAATTTTGATTGGCACTATGTTCATTGTAGAGCAGTTGAGTGGGGAAATAGTCTATTTAAAACAATGTCTATTCATTCTGGAATGTGGTGCATGGAGTCAACTTTCTTTTATAGTTTTCAGTAAAATTTTAAGACTATTTCCCTTTACGTAATTCTCTATTGCTTATAAATGAGATCTGCCCCCATATTTTCCAATTAATTACTGTTGGCAGGTAAGAAATTAATAGTCATAAGAGGACGTTCTTTGCTCACTTGCCAACCTCTGTGTTCTTTAATTCTGGCATGCGCTTTGGATTTAGGTACAAATTTAGGTCTACTTTACGTAGAAAGATACAAAAGTTTGAAAAGGTTGAGTTACTCATCTGATGTTAGACACAAGTGTATGAAAAAATTTGGATTTGAAAAAGCAGTCTAGTTTTAGTATTATGCTTTGAATCCCTTGTGTTAATATTTTACTAACATGGTATGATGTCAATTATTATGAGCTTTTTACAGGTTGTATCATTGTATCCTCTTCTCCAAAAATAACAGTGCCTTCATAGCACTGTTGAACATGAACATGGCATAGTCCTCTTCAGCTCTGTCTCGTTTCACTGACAAGTCCTTCCAGCATGGTGTGAAATAATGGTGACATTAGGCAGTCTTGTTTCTTCCCCATTTTTGTGATTGCTATTGGTTCTTCTCTAATATTATTTATTAATTTTAAATACATTTTGTGAGTATTGCCATATTTCATTTAATTCATCATTGTTATAAGTCAAGCATAGATCTTAAATTAAATGCCTTCCCTTGATTAGATAATCAAGCATTTTTTTGAACTATTTTTTAAAAGACTTGTTTATTTATTTGAAAGAGTTACAGAGAGAGAGGAGAATCAGAGAGAGAGAGGTCTTCCATCCAATGGTTCACTCCCCATTTGGCCGCAACTGTACCACTCCCAAGCCAGGAGCCTCTTCTGGGTCTCCCACACAGATGCAGGGGCCCAATGACTTGGGCCATCTTCTGCTTTCCCAGGCCATAGCAGAGGGCTGGACTGGAAGAGGAGCAGCCGGGACTAGAACCATTGCCCACACGGGATGCTGGCACAGGCCAGGGTGTTAACCCATTGAGCCACGGCGCCAGCCCCTTTTTGAACTACTATTTCCATGCTGTTTTATTTGAATTCCTATTATTGAAAAAATCATTGCATTCCTAAAATAACTCTGTTTATGATGACCAGTTTCTAAAAATATCCTCCTGGACTTGATATTTGATATCTTTTATTTTATTTTATTTTTGTTTTTATTGTTCATGTCTTAAATCTTTTTCAAGAAATTGTATTTATTTGAAAGGCAGAGTGAGGGTGTTGGGAGAGAGAGAGAGAGAGAGAGAGAGAGAGAGAGAGAGATAGATAGAGAGAGAGAGAGTAAGAGAGCTTCCATCCACTGGTTCACTCCCCAAAGGGCCACAGTGGCTGGGTTTGGACCAGGCCAAAGCCAGGAGCCAGGAACTCCGTCCATGTCTCTCAAATGGATGGCAGGGGCCCAAGCACTTAGGCCATCTTCTCTGACTTCCCAGGCACTTTAGCAGGGAGCTGGATTGGAAGTAGAGCAGCCAGGGCTGGGATGCAAGCATTGCAGGAGGTGGCTTAACTCGCTGGACCAGAGAGACAGAGGGAGTATTAGACACACACACACACACACACACACACGGAGACAATGAGAGAGAGAGAGAGGGAGAGATTGAGATTGAGATTGAGATTAGCCCTCAAAATGGTTAAAGAAGCTGGGGGCTTCTCCAGGTTCTCCCAAGTGGGTGCAGGGACCCAAGTGCTTGAGCCGCCTTCTTGCTTCTGCAGGAGCATTAACAGGGGTGAGAGCTGCATAGGAAGCAGAGGAGCTGGGACTTGAACCGGCACCCATGTCGGCTGCCAGAGTTGCAGGCAGGGGCTTTACCAGCTGCACCACAACGCTGGCCCCAAGAAAGAATTTGAAATTGATGACTGAAAGAGTAACTAAGGCTGGCTGAAGTGACACATGGGAAATTGTTTCCAAACCACATGTTTCACAGAAGAGATGTGAGTATGGACAAAGACAAGATTTGTCAGTGGATTGGGATCAAGTGGAGGAGAACAGAAAATAGTGACGCGATTCTTTTCTTTTTTTAAATTTTTATTTAGTTATTTATTAATTTTTTTGTGATTCTTTTCTAAGGATGTAGTGAGCTTTCCCTCTCTATTTTTTGTCAGCTCTGGAAAGTTTTCTTCTGTAATATCTACCAGTAATGTCTTTTTCATAGATGAACTTTGTATTTTACTGTCTGCTTCATTACTTGCATTAGATACACACACACAAAATATCCTTGTTTTAAGCAAATGTGATATAATAAAATTGTGATTCATATAAATGGTTTGTATAACTTTTCCGTTTGCTAAAGAAATGAATTATTTGTCTCTACATAAATATCTGAAAAAGAGTGTAGCCTCCTAATTTTGACATTGTATTTGGGAGGAAAAATTAGTTATATATACATGCATGTATACACATATATGTATATAAAGAATGCTTCAAAAATTTCATTGAAAATGGAATTAAAAGATAACTTCATTGTAAAAAATTTGTCTATGCACAGTTTTTTCATAATATGAATTTTTAATGAATTTAAAATTTTTATTTGTAGTAGGTTTAGTTTGTAACAGATCCAGTGCAGTTCATAGATACAATTTGAAGAATATACTAATATTTCCCTTCCTCCTCCTTCCTCTCCTTCTGTTACCTTCCCTCCCTCCCTCCCTCCTCTCTTTTTTTAGTTTTTGAGATACTGTATTTGTATTTTTCATTTGCATTATAGTCAAGGACTTAATGTTCCACCAAATAAAATGTTTAACAAGTAAAAAACAAGAAGATTCTCGTTCAGTGCGAATATAGGCAAGGACTATAAATAGTAATTGACTGGAAAAATGGCCATTTCATCCATGTACAGTAAACTTTGAAGTAAAGACAGATCATTAAAACTACAGTAACAGCCGGTGCCGTGGCTCACTAGGCTAATCCTCTGCCTTGCGGTGCCGGCACACCGGGTTCTAGTCCCAGTCGGGGCGCCGGATTCTGTCCCGGTTGCCCCTCTTCCAGGCCAGCTCTCTGCTGTGGCCCGGGAGTGCAGTGGAGGATGGCCCAAGTGCTTGGGCCCTGCACCCCATGGGAGACCAGGAGAAGCACCTGGCTCCTGCCATTGGATCAGCGCAGTGCGCTGGCTGCAGCGCACCGGCTGCGGCGGCCATTGGAGGGTGAACCAACGGCAAAAGGAAGACCTTTCTCTCTGTCTCTCTCTCTCTCACTGTCCACTCTGCCTGTCCAAAAAAAAAAAAAAAAAAACCACAAAACAAAAACTACAGTAACAACTTTGTGAACTAACTCTTGTATTTATATAAGGTGAACAACTTCCGTGTATTTCACATACACAGATTTAGGAGCATAGTGGTGCCACTGGTTTGACTATGTTACAAAACAAAGATTCACAAAACTCCTCACAGCAGTATACACAGGCTGTCTTTCTTTTTCGGTTTTTTCTTTCTTATTTTAGTGCCCACATATAAGGGAGAGCGTGTGTTTTTGTCTTTTGGTGTCCAAATTAATTTCCCCAGCGTGGTATCCTCCAATTGCATTTGTTGCATTGCGAATGGTAGAATTTGATTCTTTTTTGTAGCTAACTTACATTCCACTGTGTATTCCACCACATTTTCTCCGTTCACCTGAAGATGGACACCTTGGTCAGTTCCACATTTTGGTTCTTGTTAACAGCACTGCTGTAAGCATGGTGGTGTGGTGTCTCTTTGATACATTGTGTTCAACCCCAGTAGTGGGATTGCAGGATTACACTGCAAGTCTGTTTCTTTCTTGTTTTAAACCTCCATGCTGTTTCCGTAGTGGCTGCACTATGTCCCACCAGCAGTGTGTGAGTGTTCCCCTTTCTCCACGTCCTCGCCAGCGTTCGTTTCTCTCTTTTGGACAAGAGCCATACTGACAGGGGTGACGCGATGTCTCACTGGGGGTCTGATTGCATTTCCCCGAGGGCTAGTGATGTACAGCTTTTTTCATGTTTGTTCGACATTTGTATTTCTTCTTTTGAGAAGTGTCTGCTGAGATCTTTTGCCCACTTCTCAACTGGATTGGTTGTTGTCTGTCGTCGTGGCATTGCCAGTGAAGCCACCACCTGCCACGCCATCACCCCTAATGGGCACCTGTTTCTGTCCTGGCTGCTCCACTTCTGATCCAGCTCCCTGCTGATGGGCTGGGAAAAGCAGCAGAAGATGGCCTGTGTTCAATTTTGTTTCCCTTTTATTTCTCTAAGCTTGTTTGGTCATTTACTTATGGTTTTGAGAAATCTACTTGAGTTTTCTTTGGCTCTGATTGGATTTTTTAAAAAATTTTATTTTGTGTTGAGAGGTAGACTTACAGACACTGAGAGGGAGAGACAGAGAGAAAGGTCTTCCATTTGCTGGTTCATTCCCCAAATGGCCACAATGGCTGGAATTGAGCTGATCTGAATCCAGGAGCCAGGAGCTTCTTCCCGGTCTCCCACATGGGTGCAGGGGCCCAAGCACTTGCGCCATCTTCCACCGCTTTCCCAGGCCATAGCAGAGAGCTGGATCAGAAGAGGAGCAGCTGGGATTCGCACTGGCACCCATATGGGATGCCGGCGCTGCAGGCGGAGGATTAGCTTAGTGAGCCATGGTGCCAAGCCCCTCTGATTGGATTTTCAAGGTGATCTTTCTGCTGTCGCCGAATGAAGTATAGTATTTTTCTTCAAGTCATTGATTGCTTAGCAAAACATTCTGTTTCTGTTTGTTACATGTCTCACTGTTTCCCCTCTGTCTTATCCTTTTTCCGGTATTTTTGCCAGCTGTTTTCTGGAATTTTCTTTAGTATGTTGGAGACCACTTTTCAAGGGCACTTTTCTCTCTATTTATTATTTATTTATTTATTTTGACAGGCAGAGTGGACAGTGTGAGAGAGAGACAGAGAGAAAGGTCTTCCTTTGCCGTTGGTTCACCCTTCAATGGCCGCCGCAGCTGATGCGCTGTGGCCGGCGCACCGCGCTGATCCGATGGCAGGAGCCAGGTGCTTCTCCTGGTCTCCCATGGGGTTCAGGGCCCAAGTACTTGGGCCATTCTCCACTGCACTCCCGGGCCACAGCAGAGAGCTGGCCTGGAAGAGGGGCAACCGGGACAGAATCTGGCGCCCCAACTGGGACTAGAACCCAGTGTGCCGGCACCGCAAGGCAGAGGATTAGCCTAGTGAGCCGCGGCGCCAGCCCTCTCTGACTCTTAAGAAGGTCATTTTTTCTCTCTTGGTCTCCTCCGGTTTTGAATGAGCTTACTGCTTCACTGCTTTATTTGGTCCTTCTCTGTCTACCCTTGAATTAGATACAGATTTTGGTATTTGTCATTGCAAGGCATTTGTGGGTTTATGGTGGTCTTTTGAAAGTTAGAGTTAGTAGGAGAGACAGAGAAATCTTCCATCCACTGGTTCACTCCTCTGGTTCATATGGCTGCAATGGCCAGCGCTGGGCCAGACCAGAGCCAGGGGCTTCTTCCAGGTCTCCCACGTATGTGTGACAGGGGCCCAAAACTTAGACCGATTTCTGGTACTTTTCCCAGGCACATTAGCAGGGAGCTAGATCAGAAGTGGAGCCGCCAGGACGTGCACCTGTGCCACTGCGTGATTCCACGTTGCAGGCGGCTTCCCCTGTTTCATCACTACTCTGGCCTCTTAAAAGCATCTCTTAAACTTAATAAACAGACGAGTGTGTGTATTAGGGGGCTCTGACTACAAATTCTTGTCCGGGCTGCCACAATGCTGGTCCCTATGATGATAGAATTTAATAAAATATGATGTAAACTGATAACCATTCATACAGAAACCTGTACACCACTTGCAGGCTGCTCCCTCCTACTCCATCACTAAGCATATACAGTAGAATCTCTATGACAAGTCTCAGCAGATCAGCCTTGTTCTCTCATTTCTTCTCTAAAGCAGGCATACTGTGGCTCCTGCTACCGTCAATGTCCGTGACATTGCACCTGTTGGTTTCACTGATAACCAGTTGTATTTGTTCCCAAATCTGAATATCTCAATTGCTTGTTTGTAACATTATGTAATTTAAAAAAAGATATATTTATTTATTTTAAAGGCTGAGTTATAGAAATAAAGGGAGAGACAGAAAGGGAGAGATACCTCCCATCCACTGGTTCAATCCCCAAATAGCTGTAACAGCTAAAGCTGGACCTGGCTGAAGCCAGGAGCCTGCAGCTCCGTCTGGGTCTCCCACATGGGTGGCAGAGGCCCAGGCACGTGGGTCATCTTCTGCTTTCCCAGGTACATTAGCAGGGGTCTGGGTTGGAAGACCACCTGCTGTGAGTCAAACTGATGCCCATATGAGACGCTGGCATCACAGGCTGTGGCTCAACCCACTGAACCACAATGCTGGCTCCTACAATGATAGAATTGAATAAAATATGATATAAACTGATAAACATGTTTGGAGCTAAAATAGTTCTGATGAAATACATATTTGGAAAGGTAATTTGCTGATAAATAATGATATTACAATTGATGTCAGCAAGAAAACAAAAATTGGAAAATGAAAAAAGTCTATGGAGATTTTCTGCTCATATTGTTTTGCAAGAATATTGAGTTTCCAATAGTCCTCAAATGAGATTTGGGATTATAGATGCTGTATTATCTAAGAGGATACAAAACTATTCAGTGGGCTCTTCATCCAAACAAGGCTTCAGTCCACACCAAAACCTTTATGAATTACTTTGTTTTATGCATATAAGTTGAAATGTTTAGAAAATACATTTATTCTGGTTTCCTGCTTTAACCAATGAATTGGTCACCTTTTACCAAATGCATGACCTTCTACAAATGGTGTCTCTCATCTAGGATGCTTTTGACTTTCCCCTTTGAATGGCATTTCACATTTGAGGGGTATGCTTTGATGATTACCAGGCACTACTGCTAGTGTGTCACTCCCTTGTTTCATGGGAGTCACTAGATTTTGATGAATTTCATTTGACATGTTAAAAAATGCAGTGTGATACGTACCTGAACACACACACCCTATCTTCTTGTAAGTATTAATCTTCCTAGCCCTGTTTTTGTAAGGAAAAAGGAGAAAGGTATGACCCAGATTTCTTTGGGGGAGAAGTTTTGGGATTAAACTTCACACGATATGCAAAATAAATGAGCTCAAACAAACTGCAGTGCAGTGGGAGTCCTGCTTTCATGCTGCAAACTCATTTGTCAAAATAATAGATGCTAAGTCCACACGGGTGACCTCCGTGGCTTCTCCTTAGCTTGGTGTGATTAGAGGAGCGAGCGGCTGAGGAGACGCTAAGCCAGAGCCTCAGTCGAACGGAGGCTAAAAGTAGAGAGGAGCTGGGCAGAAGGAATCTGGATTCATTATTTGAATGACTTCAGATGCACAAAGCCACAGAGCAGTCACGCGATGGCTGGGCATCTCTGTGCTAGGCTGACAACCGCAGCTCTGGTACCGGCTGCGTTGCCAGAACATTGGCAGGTGCAATGCATTCGATGCTACTGTGTGAGCAGTTGCTTATCAGAGCTGATCACATCTGTTGATTTTTCCTGGCTTCTTTTTAGGAACCAGCTTAATAAGTGTTTATTGTTATAGATCCATTAGGATAAATCAATCATAAATGTAGTCTTTCAAATCCTCCTCTAATTATTGGGGCTGGCTTGAATTGTATCTTCTCCTTGGCAAATCACAGTTGGATTCATTGTAGAGGATACTCACATCTTTGACTCATTAAAATCATGACAATGGGGCTGTTTTCAGTTTGTCTCTGTTGGTTGCCATAGTTTCCCGGGATACAATGACTTCTGGTTTCCATGGGCACACCGCTGGCTGGAGCTGCAATGCTCTGTCAGGATGTGAGAGCGGATCTGCAAAGCACAGTCTGCCTTGGACCTGCGTTTCTGAAAGTTTCAAAATGGAAGCATTAGAGAGAATGAAGCACACGCAAGGCCTTTCCTTGTCCCACTAAGAGGGGACAATAAAGAAACAGTAGCTGACTGCAGGCAAGAGGCCATAACCGTGAAACTCAGCAAGAAAGCGTGGGGAGAGGGGTGCAGGGGAGAGTCAGAGCTGTGGAGGGGAGAAGTCACAGCGCTGAACAATTTGTCTCAGGCGTTAAACAGAATTCTTAGAAAATGGTCTAATTAGAGACGCGTTAACAGTAAAAGCGCCGATTTTATCCTTACCGTTTTTATTGATTCTGGCTTGTGGTACATTTTTACCTCTTCTTTATCAGTATGCTGTAATTAAACATAAGCTGTCTCTTACCCGCAAAATTAATAATTTTGATGGTTCTTTCCTTTCGTGTTCACTCAAGCCCTGGTCTCTGGCACCAGTTCCCACGCTGTATTTTTTGTTTCCTGGGTGGGTTTCTGTTAACTCTTCATTCACTCTCCTCCAGTTTGGGTGCCTTCCCCGTGAGTATCTTTCAAGGGCTCAGCATCCTACGCTGTCTGCAGTTTTCGTCTCAGTTTGTTTAATTGCTGTCTGCCCGTCACCTCAGGGTTTGCCAGCTCAGAGTTTGACATGTTTGTGCCCTCGCTGTTTTGCTGTCTGAGCAGAATGGCTGAGGCAGTTTGCTGAGCCCTTGGGACTGCGTGTTGGGACTCACACGGGGTGCCCGGCACCACCTAGGGCCATCAGGAAATACTCCATTGCGTCATCATTTGCTTCCATTTATATTGATTGATGGGTCTTTCCCTAACACATCCTAGGCCCATGGATAATGAAAGATGGACCCACAGAGGAAAACATCACAGTTGATGTACATTTTACACCACATGGGAGGTTTCACGGAGAGATGGAAACCCGGAGACACAGGGCACCTTGTGTATTGTTTGATAATGGGTTTGATGAAGAAGCAGCAGGTGGTGCGGAATGATTGGACCACAAAGTGTGAGTCAACAGCCATAAACTGAGGGTGAGTGTCACGTAGCCTGTCTGTCCAGAATCTTCTCCATGATTCTGCCACCTTCCGTAGGACGCCGGGCCTTTCCTCTGGGTGCAGGGATGGAATGACAGCCTTGTGGCGCCTGCGGGTCAGAGCGGAGACAAGCTGTGATGACTTCCTGCTGCTGCTTGCCCAGATGCACAGTGTGCCCTGAATGCCATCGCTGGAGAGATGTCTCTTCATTTCTGTAAAAATGGGGAAGATCGACTTTCTCTGAAGATGCACCTGAAAATTAAACATTTCTTCTTTTGTAAAAAACTGATGTCAGTGACTTCTAGTCTTTTAGTCCTTTTCTGTGTTGCATCTTGAGCTCAGAGACAGGGGCCTTCAGATACTGCAGGATGCTTTGGGAAGATTTGCATAGCATTTTTAGCCAAACAAGCTGATTGAAGAGCTAGGGTTGAGCTCACACATGCACTGGCTAGTCTCATGCTTTTGTGTGCGTCAGAATTCCTGGAGGCTGACAGGGGCTGCTGAGCCCTCCACGGAGCCCTGGAAGGGTCAGATAGTTTGTGTTTGTACCATTCGTGGGCGAGGCTGACACTGCTCCTCTGGGCCAGCTGTCTGTGAGGGGCCGCTCACGGCAGGTAGCTGGGCTCTGTCCTGGTTCCGTGCCTTCGCAGACTCCGTTCCGCAGCTGCTCACTTCCCTGGAAGGAAGAGAGCATTTTGCCCGTACAAGTGCACCCTGCAAACAAGACAGAGTTCAGCTGGTGTTCTGAATAGTGCGGCCACCAAGAAACATGTTAACCTTGTTCTCTTGATGTTTTAGATGTTATTGATGTTGCTTTTAAGACTACAATATCAAGACAATGATCTTGGCTTTTTCTAGCAATGGTTGGCAAATCCATTGGTTTTGAGATCTGGAATGCACTTACGGTGGGCAGTTTCCAGGTGCAAGGCCAACTCTCTCAGAATGCGCATTGTTCCTGGTGAAAATAATACAGGTAATCCCATTGATAAATGACATTCAGGAGTTATATTAAGGACATATTCTATGAATTAATTTCTAAATATAAAACTTAGAAAAGGTGTTGCAAATATAATTTAATATCTATTTGGATATTAAATTAATAATATTAAAATATAATAAAATATAATATAAATAATTTAAATTTAATATCTATTTGGATAGATGAAGAAAACAATTTAAAATACACTTGGATAAATGAAAAATACCTTCAGAAATGCATCTGGCAATACTTGACATGTATTTTCAGTGACAAAAAAATTAGAAATTAGAGACACTGTACATGGTTAGTTTTTTTAACATAATTAAGAAATAGTTTTGTTGCTTACCTATGTCTGTGTGTGTGTGTGTGTGTGTGTGTGTGAATACTGAATATCTCCAACCAAAGTCAGGAATAAGGGAGGGATATGCACCATCACTAATATTTCTGAAATGCTTACTAACTGGTTGCTTTTATGAGGAAATAAATGGACATGATTAAACGTACAGTTAGATCAGACTTTAAAATTTTTTAGTTGGAGATGCAGAGAAATAGCAAAGCTAGGGGCAGAGGTGAGAAAGGCCACTTGGGATCTCCGGTGTTTACTCCCCAAATGCCTGCAGCAGCCGGGACTGGTCCAAGCCCACACTGGGAGCTGATAACTCCATCCGGTCTCTTAGGTGGGTGGCAAGAACCCAGTTACTGCCACCTCCCAGGGAAAGCGGTAGCAGGGAGCTGGAGTCAGACTGGGGCTGGGAATTGACCCACCCAGGTACCCGGTGCAGAATGCAGGCTTCTGAACTCCTGGGCTAGACACTCACCTCAGCTGGATGCATTTTGACATAGTTATGCTGTGAAACCATTACTGCAGAATGACAACGAATGCATGTGCCGCCCCTGACATATTCTTGTACCTGTTTGTAATTCTTAGCAACTGCCCACCTTTGTCCATCCCCACACCAACACCACACAGAGGAGTACACACCATAGGATTCTGTGTCAACAAAGTTCTAGAAAGCACAAACCAATCTACAGTAAAAATCCAGATCAGTGGTATTGCCACTGTTTTTCACCACTAATCTGGAAAATAGTAACCACCATTAATAGATAGGAGGAGGAAAAAAAGGGATACAACTGTTGGAAATGAAGCCATAAGAAATAAATATTTGCATAGATACATTGTTTCCCTAGAACATAGACAATTATTGAATGGGAAGATACTTAAAATATTAGGGGAATTCAGTAAATTAGCAGATTCTAAAACTAAATCTGTATAGATCAGTAGCTTTATTACAAATAAACAATAGCTAGGACATATAACAAAGAAAAAACTATTTGAATGGCAAGCAAAAAGTTAAAATATGTATTTGTAAACTTAAAAACTATAAAAACCTACTTTAAATTCTGTTAAAAGTGTCAGTTTAGCCTAAATCTATATATGCATCTGATGCCCGTTGTGAATTTTTCCAGAACCTGAATCAATGCTAACGTCCATCTTGGGAAATAAATATGCAAGACTAGCTGGAGAAATCTGGAGAAAAAGAGAGGGAAAATAACATTAAAAGATATTAAAACATAATAGTAGTCCTTATAGAACAGAGGAGATAAATAGGTCAGAGAAATAAAATACAGAGGGTGTTCATCAGAATGGGCTGGTAATAACAAGTCAGCCTTGAAATCCCAGGGGTTTCATAGCGTCGGTTTCTTTCTTGTTCATGCCTGGAGTCTGTCGTGCACCTGTGGACTCCTGGGAGCTCAGCGGTGTGGTCACCAAGAGCTCTACGTGGTGAGACTGCCGTGTGTTCCAGCAACAGCAAGTGCACCATCCCTTTGCCTAAGCCTTCCCAGTTGGGGAAGCAGCTTGGAGAATCACACGGGGTGACTTTCTGTGTCTCAGCCTGGGTATCTACTACTTACTTCAAACACCAGCTGTCTCCAGACTGGTATTGTGGTGCAACAGGTCGAGCTGCTGTCTGGAACGCTAGCATCCTGTACGGATACCGGCTGGAGTCCTGGCTGCTCCACTCCCGATCCAGCTCCGTGCTAACGTGCCTGGGAAGGCAGCAGAAGATGGCCCATGCGTTTGGGCTCCTGCCACCACCGGGAGGACCTGGCCCAGCCTTGGCTGTTGCAGCCATTTGAGGATTGAACCAGTGGCTGAAAGATTGCTTTTTCTTTCTTTGTATCTCTCCCTTTCTCTTTAACTCTGTCTATCAAATAAATACAAATGAATCTTAAAAAAAGTCTGAGGCGTGCTGGCATCTGTGAGCCTGGAAGATAACAGTGGTATCCGTGCTGGAAGGTCATGTGCATTGCAGGTGCGCTGCAGGTCTGTGGGGGGATGCTAGTGCTCCCTGCTTCTGTTGTAGGGCACCAAGTGCTGGGGTGGGGGCAGGAGGATGAAGCCACACCCCTACCTCACTCCTTCTAACAAAGTCAGTCCCAGATGGAAAAACCAAGGGGAAATACTTGGAGTTTGGGAGGACGAAGGGGCAAATCTGAATCTTTAGTAGCAAAGGACTTTGCAAGCAGGGTGACAAGTTTGTAAATCAAAATATGAATAATACAAAGGCATATGATGAGGAGTTGTGAATGGGCACCTTGGTAAGAACAGAGAGGCCAATTGAAAACTCATTCATGATTCATCACACAGAAAAGTAAAGAATGCCTTTTAAAGGAAGGTTTATTTATTTTTGTTCTTATTAACGTGTGCCTTCGTACACGTATTGCATTCATGCTTTGTACATCCTTTAACTGAGAAGGAATTAAAAGGATCTCGAAGCGATTTTTTGTTTTTTGGAGAGGACCCTTTTTGGGGTTTGTGAGAAGGGAAAGTTTTTTATTTTTAATATTTGGTGTTTCCTGACTGTACGCACATACTAATTTTTTATATAACAGTGAAATTGATGTAGTAATTATTTCATTTTTGTGATTCTCAATATATAACACAAAATTAGAAGGTATACACACAACACAAGAAAACCTTTCTAATAGCATTATTTTTCAGATATTAAACAGGAATAAAGCAAAAAATAAATGAGAAAATTATGCATTTATTTGTTTTGATACAGCGTGTGCACCCTGATACACCTTAGAAATTCTGAATTACATTCCTTCCTGGCCAATTTTTTTTCTATAGCATATTTCCAGTCAATTTTAAACATGTCTCAGTAAATAAAAGATAGATTTTAGGGTCAAAGCTTTTCAGATTCACAGCTTTATAAAATTTTTTTAATAATAATTTAGAGTAATAATTTAATAATTTAGAGCAGTAATTTAATATAGCAATTATGAGATACCTGGTTTCTTCCAGAAAGAAGCCTCGGGGTGTTTGTCGATGTTTGTCATCACGATTACAGAAGTGCTTCGAAGCGCTCTGCTGTTGGGTGCAGGTGGTAGGGGGCATGCAGGGGCCGCGAGGTGGAAGCCCTGCCAATGCTTAAAAGCTGGAAGCAAATGTGTGTAGCAGTATGAAAATACCTGGGTTATACTGGGATGTAGGAAGAGCAGCGCAAAGAACTCCGTGTGGGGTGTGCTCCCTTTAGTTTAGGACCACACCCCTGTGCGGCCAGGCCGTGTGTGCGTGAGGCAGAGAATGTCCTGGAATTCTGAGGAACGCAGACAGCGTCACAAGAGACTGCGTCCTGCCAGGGTGGGGATGAGGAGGGAAGCGAGAATCATTTTCGTTGTTTGTTAGCGTTTATCGAGCATTGATTTGTTTAGCCTTGTAAGTGTTCGATTGCTTCACTTTCTCAAACAGCAAAGAAATAAACCCATGGGTATTGCACGTATTACTTCAGTCGAATGAGCCAACCACATTTGCGTCAATAGACCTTAGTTTTTAGCGTTATCTTTTGATAACGTCCTGGCATTGGCGATGTCTGTTTTTTCTGTGGAAAGTCGTGGTGTCTTCATCACCGTCCGGAGAGATCCAGCCTGGTAAGACTCGCTTTCCATGTGGGGTGGCTGGGTTGAGTCCTCACCCTACTCCTGGGCCAGCTCCTGCTGGTGTGCTCCCGGTTCCCAGGGGTCACAGCTCGAGTAGTTGGGTCCCTGCCGCCCACGCGGGAGCTCTGGATGGATCCTGGCTCCCAGCTTCGGCCTGGCCCAGCCCCGCCTATTGTGGGCATCTGGGGAGTGACTTGATGAATGGCCGCTCTCTTGGTCTGATATGCATGTCTGTCTCTCTGCCTTATAAATAAATAAGCAAAAATTAAAATTCTCATTCAAATTTGTGTTCTTTAAAGTTAATAGCCTGATGAAACAAATACTACAGGCAGATAAAATCCATGGACGGGTGCAAGCAGGAGTTCCCTGGATCCCAGGGCCTCCCGCACCCCACCCTCAGGCTCCTCTGTCACGCGCCTCCAAGCTGGGGTCCAGGCTTTCCTGCCTCTACCGTGGTTAGGAGCATGTGGTTAGCCCACACGGGGCCGGGGGGGTGGGGCTATGCACACTGTGACGGTGGGGGTGGCAGTGTTCTTCACCCAGAGCTGCGGTGGGAGCTCTCCAAGTGTGTACCGAGCGCGCATGCCCCAGGTTGGCCGTGCTCACCCCACTCTCGGTTAGTCTTTCTGCAGGAAGAGCGGGCAAACTCCTGGCGGGTGCAAGGGGGCCACTGGTCCCTGGGGGAGGTAGAGACCAGGTGGCAAGGTGAGTGTTCACAGGCGGCCTCCGGGCCCGTGGAAGACGCAGGTGGAGAGCCCGGGAGAGTGCAGCTCCATGAGAACTCAGTTTATTTTGTTAAGCTTTTGAACCCTCTACATTTCAATTCCAGTTTTAATTACAGCAGAAAAAACACAAAAGCCAAGTCAATTAGCTTTTTTAAAAATTCTGCATGTATATGTAGTTCTCTATTACCAAAGAGTTAGCAGGGAAGAGATAATGGCGCTAATTACCTTTTTGCTGTACTTGTCACATTGTGTTTAACTTTCCCTGTTGCAATGACCTTTTGTTCAATGGCTCTGGCAAAGAAGGCCACCCTGTCTGCTTTAACATCCCTGACGTCTTCTGAGCGAATGATAAGCGATATTTTGGGTGACTGCTGGGGTAATTACAAATATAGTGATAATGCATGCAAATCTCATGTGAGGAAATTACAGGTCATTGCTTCTGTATCCCGGCATTCTGTGATGATAAAAGAAATTGCTGTTAATTACCAGATTATTACCATCCTTAATTTTGATAATTCTAGGCTATCAAAACAGTGTTTTGTAACACGAATTCTATCAGTTGGTTTTTCCAACAGCGTGGCAGCCTGGATTCTTCAGTCAGAATCCCTGAAGATTGTGTGTGTGTGTGTGTGTGTGTGTGTGGACGCGTGTGACAAATTCATAGCTGTTGGGGGGCAAACAAGGTTTATTCCAGAGTCTTGGGAAGATGAGTGGCTTCCTTTTCCCTGGCCAGCATGCGTATTTCATTCCCCGAAAGCTTCATCCTGCATTTTTCTGCATAAACATTGCTCTTCTCCTAAGCCTCCCTCTCCCCTCGGGAGGGTAGACTTGGCAGCCGGCGGGAGAAAGTGATGGGATATTGAGCAACACAACCAAGACTTAAAGCTGAAACCCGGGTGCGCCGCCCCTTGCTGCTGCTGGTGTCCGCCCACTTTCCCTCGCCCTCTGCGGGGCCGTCGTGTCGAAGGCACCCTTGCAGGTGTCAGTCTGCATCCGCCTCCAGCCGGTGTGGGGACTTCATGAACATCCCAGGGCCTGAGGCCACAGGTCTTCCTGGGGTGCCACCGTTGGTTTATAAAATGAAATTCCACCCACACCGTTTTAAACAGCATGCTAAGATAAATGAGACACAGTGAATAGAAGCCTCCCTTTTTTTGCTTGGCTGTTTTAGCAAGGTAATAGATATTTGCAGCTTTTAGATTCATCACTTGATTATAATAACTGAAATCACTTTTAGTGTTGGGAGAAATTTTGACACATTCAGGAGTCAGTAGCTGGGATTGGGTTGCTCTGTTTGCTAACAGACTAAACCCAAAGCTTAGTCTTCCAACCCCTTCGTGGAAGGATCTCGTGGGAGTCCAACCAGCTCATGTCCACGCAGTCACCTGCATCTTTGAGGTCCTTCATCAGCCAGGCACTTATGGACGCCACCTTTCACTCTCTTGGTAAGTTTCCAGGCCTGAAAGCTGGCTCAGACCCGTGAAGACAGCCTGGCTGGGCCCCCAGTTCTTTACTCTGCGTGGCCAAGGGAGTGCAGTTGTTCAGACGAGGACTTGACCTCTCCATGATCTGTCGCCAGCGTGACAAGGGCCCGTGCACCTTCGTCTTCCCAGGGCACAGGGAGAAGCTGCAGGCGTCCCAAGTGCGTGCTCTGTGTGCTCACTGCCACCTCGCCCGTGCCGCCTAGTGTGCGTGCTTACAGGAGCCTGCCTCTCCCTGCAGCACTTGACATGATCAGATTTTCAAAGACAGGATCTCTTCAGAGTCACACCTTTGTGGGTCAGAGTCCTTGTGGGTTCGTCATGGCTTGTATGCGGATGCTTGGACGAGTTGGTGGAAAATAGAATTCAAAGATAAGCTTACTGTGGTGCTAAACTTTGTGAGGTCTTTTCTTCATCGTGTGCCTTTTCCACGAACTTTTGGAAGAACACTGGTGGGCAATTTGCAAGAGTCCATCCTTTTCCCCTAACCACAACTTGAAATTCACGGATCCAGACTGAGTGTTTAAAAAATTCTGTTTTGGCCAGTGCAATTTATGGAGTAAGCACGTGTGTGTGTGTGTGTGTGTGTGTGTGTGTGTCTTCCCCATAAAACGTTCATGTAAGGCGTACAAACTTCATGCATTTCATAAATACAGCTTTAGGAGCAGAGTGTTTCTTCCCACCCTACTGCACACTCACACTCACACTCGCACGTGGTTTCTTAAAGTGGTTGTACGGGGGCACCGCATTCTACAACATTCACGCTGTCTTTGCTCTAATTTGGAACTCTATTGATGGAAAGATAATTTCACCTGCTGTTTTTGTTTTTGAGGCATTTACCCCCATCTGATCTGTTTTTTGCAAACTCCAGTCTTCACAAGAAATGTGTTCTGGTGGGAGCCCTTGGCACGGCCATAGGACGCTTCGGGCTGCCTGCGTTCTTTATCACCGCGCCCTGACTTCAGCGCCTGCTCTGCTTCTCCATTCCAGCTGCCTGCTGCTGCACACCCTGGCAGGCAGCAGCTCATGACTCCAGTGTTTGGGTCCCTGCAGCCCCCATGGGAGACCCTGACTGAGTTCCAGGCTCCGCACTTGAGCCTGGTTCAATGCTGATTGTTACAGGCATTTGGGGGTAGAACCCGTGCATGAAAGATTATTTTCTAGTTTTGCCTCTTAATGAAAATTTTAAACAATTCAAAAGAAATGTTTTGACCCAAGTAAGTCCTCTCATCCCACTTGCGAAGGGTCTTGGTAGCGTCACGTGGTCAGGTCATTTGCGGAATCCTGTGTTTAAAGACTTGTGGCTCTCAGTTCAGACAGATCAGTTAGCAGAGCACACAAAGGCTATAGCAAGCCAAAGTTTCTTTAAAAAAATGCTCATAGACGAATATTTCATTACAAATCTGATTTTCACTGAGGTCCACTGAATAATCATGTGGAGGATTATGGAAACTTGGAGTCTGAGCAGCACGGCGCAGCGCGTGTTTGATAGGAGTCTATTTTACACATTCTTGAGGTTTCTATCAGGAGCTGAGTTCCCATCGTGAGTGCTGTCTCCCTGGAAGGCTGGAGCTGTATTTACCTCCAGATGAGGCAGGCGCAATCATGAAGAGGGACAATTCCAGGGGACGTCGCTTCTCGGGCTTTGGGACTCGCGGGTCTGGTGCGACAGCTTTGCTGGAATGCACATTTCTGGCCTGTGGCTCAGATTCTGTGGATCTGCCTTAGGGCCCAGGAGCTGGAAAATTCTAATTAGTCCCCTAGGTCATCCCAGGTGACTCATGGGCTGCTGTTCAGAAACACTGCCCTAAGACAAGCGTAACTTGGGCTGGAATTTCTCTGATTAACTCTGATAAAAGCTCATAGTAGGTTCAGGCTATGTCTCTGTCCGTTGTCTGTCTATAATGGCTTTTGAAATAACAGTGGATGAAACAAACATGAAGAAGTGTAGCCCTTCTTACAGATGCACAGTGTGGCCTGCGTCCTACCGCTGGCTGAGAGCACAGGAGGTAATGGCGTCGCGTCCCGAAGATGCTGACCCAGAACTCTTTCTGGAATAGACAAGTTGTGACAAGCAGTGGATACATTTCCTTTCACTCTTTCCTACTGAGACTAACTTAATTCTGGAGAATGATGATTTTTTTAAACATACACTTGTATGTAAGTTATTTTTCATTTTATTTGAAGGAGAGAGAGAGAGAGAGAGAGGTTGGTTGATTGCTTTTCCGCCTGCTGGTTCTTTACCAAGATGCCTGCAAGAGCGTGGGCTAGGTTTAAACCAGGAACTCAGACCTGGATGCACATCTCCCACGTGGATGCCCATAGTCTCTGAGCTGTCACTTCCTGCCTACCATAACGCACGTCATCAGGAAGCTAGGTCAGAAGCAGGCCAGAAGGGACTCGATCCAGGCACTCCGTGTGGGGTGCAGCGGCCCCAGGTTCAACTGCTGGGCTGAACTTCTGCCTCAGGACCCATGACTTCCATTGAGTCCTCTGGTTTTAAAACCTGTGCCTCTTGGAGGCTTCTGGTGGGAGCTACAGCTCCCAAGGGCTGAGAGTGCTGCTGATGTGCACAAGGGAAAGCAAGAAGATTCGACCATCGCATGGGAATTCCTGCACCTGCTTCAGCTAAGGGCGACCCGAGTCCACTCGCCTGTGCAGGTGCCAGGGAGCCCAGCTGTGGGTGCACAGTCCCAGCAGGTGTCTGTGTGGGACGTCTCGTAGAGGGGTTGCAAGGCCAAGTGTTCCTTCCTTCCCTGGGTAGGCACTTCCTGTAGTGATCGTCTCAGAGACGCCCTCCCCAGAGTGGTTTTACGGTGCTTTCCCGCTCTCTTCTTCCCTGGTCCTTGGTTCATTTCCCCTGCAGGTTAAAGCAGGGACAGGTACACATTTACTCCAGGAATGACTTGGGACAGGACACTGAGTATCTGTCCCTTTGTGTGGGAGGTTCTCTGGGTCCTTGCTGTCTTCCACAGCTTGTGGCAAACAAGGGAAGCTGCAGGGAGAGGAAGAGGTAGAAGGTGAGATAGATGGAGCAGAGGGAGAGGTGCGTCGTCCACGGCAGAACGGCCGTGGCTTGGTTCTGCCCAGAGCTGCACCTGCCTTTCTTTCTGCATCCGTTGGGGCTGCGACTCAGGCTTGGACCCTTGGCTCTGTTCTTCCTGAGCCTGGGTGAAAAGGGAGAAAGACAGGAAGGCACCTCTGCACCGCAGTTCTTAGGAACGGGAGATGAAGAGCAGACCTTCAAGGAACGCT